GCCTTCTGTAAATAAGATCCCCGTTATAACTCTGCCTTTTTCTGGCAGTTGACTTGAGCACCAGAAAGAGCTTTGAGAAGTGTTATGGATTGTTCTGGACTAACTTTCAAAGCTTTCTTTGCTATTTGACTATTTGTTACTGTAGTTTTGCTTCCTTTTTGCAAAGGGTAAATCGGGGACTTCCTTTAATGTAAAAGTTCTATTGCTGTAACAGTGTAATAAAAAAGTTTATATGGGTCATTTGCTTCTGGCGTGATGCTGCAAATTCATGTGATATCAGCATCCGTCGTTGACAACTTGCTTTTGATGGAAAGCGGCTTATTTTCATCTTCTTCTTTAAATGGGGGTGTTTCTATTTGAAAGTGGGTTTATAGAGAAAGGACGGAAGAAAGCTTTCACATTATGCTTAGTTTTGATCTCCCCCGTTGATTGCTATGGTTGACTCTACCCAGCTCTTTTCTTTCCCACTTGATTCTTCTGTTTGTTTTAGCGACTTTCCTGGACAACTAAATTCTTTAATGATGCAAATGCTAGAGCTGGAGGTGAAGGAAACAACATAACAAAAAACAGAATTACAGAAATAATACCAAGTACGTTGATTAGAAGTTGATGCTGTGTAAGAAAGCCAACACAATAATGATTTTGAGTTTGCTTGCAAGAACTTCTGCATATGTATTGTGTCTTTCTGTAGCACTTTTTGAATGAAAGAAGATTGCTGACATATTTTCATAGTTTATATATTTGAACGGTAAAAAAGAAGATTAGAAAAAGGTGAGAATGATAAATATCATGACGAGTCTTCATATGATATTCATATCATCGATAACATCGATATGATATTCTACAATAACCGATAGCTACATATGCAGAAGCTTTTTTGCTCATAAATTTCTGTATTATTACTTCGTTTTTAATTCTATCAGCCAAGGTAAACCAGCTTAGTTATTTAGTACCTCCGGCCTCTCTTAGACCTCTTAATAGACTGTCTATAAAGTTTTAACTGATTTATAACAATTTAACATCATCACTTTGTTTTAAGCCATACTTTTAGCAACCTTATCTGATCCTCATTTTAAAAGGGTTTATTGGTTCCTCGTCAAAAGCGTTTATTGCTAATATTATGATGCAAAAATTGATTCTCATCGGGTATACCTAATGTTTTCTCTTCTCTTTTCAGATGATGTGCATCGTGTGGTTTTGAAGCAGGCAATTTATGAAAACAACAGTGGTTCTGACTACATAAATGCCACTTACGTAAATGTAAGATTCATTTTCTTAAAGCAGTTTTGCATCAAATCCATTTCAGGTCCAATTCAGCATCAAAATTATTGCAAGAAGCGTTTCTAGACCAGTTGAAAAGAGGGAAAGAGAATCATCTATTCAAGCAATATTTCATTTTTCATTTCAATATTTTAAGACCCAGTGTCAACCAACAAAGAAGCCTCTATAATTTACAGGGTCTTCTCTTGTTTGTTAACATCACGCCTGCTCAATTTCCCGAATTTCAGTGTTTGAGGCAAGAATTTTTTTTACACAATCGTCCTACTATCATGTTTAATCATGCCATTGACTGTTTTCCGCCTAGATTCTTAATAAGGGGTTTGCTAGAGACATCAAAACTGTTATTCGTTACGATCCTAGCAGCTCTGTTTTGAAGCTTTTGAAGTTTTGAGATTTCAGTAATGCCACAACAGCCCCATACAGCAACAGTAGCGGAGCTGGGGTACAATAATGCCAGCGTAAAGAGTTTAGAAATCTTTTCAGTTAAGGAATTTAGAGGAAGAAATTTTTTTGCGCAATTTAAAAGGCCTATTGCCCTAGTACCTTGTCAGATATCAATTTAATGTGCTCTTTCTAATCGAAACTATTGTCAATTTGAACACCAAGATATTTTGTCTTCCAACTAAAGTTAAATCAAAACATACAATTACATACAAAAATGATGAATTCATAACTTCAATGAATATACCTGAACCGATATCTTAATGATAGAATTTGGCAGAATGTATGTTTTTTGATTGACATTTATATATGTCAGGTGCTTAGAGTCGAGCTTCGATTTCGGAGTGTAACAGAGATAGCATTTTTCGTTCAATCTTCCCATCCAGCTAAAAAGCATAAACAGAGTATTCAATTGAGCCACAGAATAAAGAATGGTAATGAGAGATGCCATCCTCCACAACATTGCTGCTTTTAATATTCTTTAGTGTAGCTGACACTTGGGAAGCATGTGGTTAGCTGACACTTTAACAAACTGCAGTTGGTTAGCTGAATTCTGAAGGATAAACATCTTTCACTTCTATCGCCGCAAACTTTCTATAATTGAGCTTCTCTGAAAGCATGATAGTTTAGCCTTAAATAGGTCCGAGCACGAGCATGGACATGGAAAACACCATTACTCTAAATGAATGGAGTCTCCCCTCTCCTCTTTCCCTGACAAAACATGCATGCAATGTTCCATGTTGTTTCTTAATGACGATATTCTTACAATAAGCCATGCTCAAATACAAGAGACATTTTTCTAATTTGTTATACAAATTCTGATTCTTCTTTTAGGGCTATAGTAAACTCAACGCCTTCATCGCGACACAGCACCCACTGCCAGAGACTATTGACGATTTCTGGCTAATGATTCAGCAGACAGAAGTGTCTATGGCGGTCCTTCTTAGCAACACTATTCATGGAAGCATGGTTAGTTTGAGGATTTGAATGAGTATTTTTATATTGCATTTTTTGCCAATTAGTTTCTTGGCAGCCAACACATTTCCTTGTGATGTTATCCTTTTCCTTTTCAAGAAATGCTAGCTTACCCTTTGCTTATTCACTTTGATGTAAGTCTTGCATAGGTAGCATACGTTTTCCAGCTTAGGAACTTGGAATAATCAAAAATTCGATTGATATTGTATTTATTAGCTCGGATAATGTATTGGGCTGGCAAATGTACCCAAAAACATTACTTTAATCTTGACGAAATTTTCCAACCTATTAAAGTGATATAAATAGTATTGACATGGTCAGAATCTTCATTTATTTTCCCTTTTCACCATTAACAGAAGGTTTTGACGTTCATCTTCCTAGTCCATTTTATTTTTTTGCATCTTTCGATCATGTTATTGTTTAGGACCTTCCCATCTTTTGGCCTCCACTGCACACAGCTCGGGAATATGGCGGTGTTTTAGTAAACCACCAATCAGAGGAGAGCAACGGTGGCAGCATTGAACGGATGTTTACTGTCAGGAATGTTGACGTAAGTTGATTTCGTAGCTATGATATTTGACTGTATCTGAGCGGAGGAGGAGAAATGGGCTAAAAAAGCATGTAGAAAGATATTGTAAAAGAATGAATTGGATGGATAAGGACCCCAAGAGTCATTACATCTCTGACAGTCTAGAGATTGTGCAAAGATTTGGGGTACTTTACTACAACCATGCTCTTCTTTTATAAATATTTGTCTGTATAGATTTGCAAGTTTAATTGACAAAAATTCCATTAGTTTTTGTTTATCTTCTGTTGATTATCTGATTATATAATATTTTGCAATTATTTTTTTCAATTATTTATTACCTGAAATTTTTAACGAAGAATTGTGCATAAATGCTTTTTATTATTGGTATGAATTGAATTTAACAGTCAGCAGAGAAATGGAGAAATCTGACAATGCTCCAGTTTGAGGGTTGGACTGATCATGGCGTTCCAAAAGACTTGGACAAATTTATATCGCTGCTAAACAAAGTTGAAACACATAAACAAAATCAGTCTGATGACAGACCAGTTGTAATCATCTGCAGGTAATAGATATAGCAGGTGTAAAATCAAATTTTTTCAAAATAACTGATTTCAACCTTTTCCCCGCCTTTCATTTCAAGTAATTTTTAAAACTTCCAGCTCACGCGGAAAAGAAAGAAGAATTTGTTTTTTCTATCGTTGTATAAAAACTTGATTTTTAGTTATGACTGCAAAGTTGAACTGAGTCATTAGTTGGACATGTTTGAATGATGTGGGAAATCCCGCTTCGGTTTTAATTAGAAGCATAATAAAGTTATCTGGAATTTTCAATATCTTTTGTTAATGTGTTTAAAATCTTCTAAGGTGTTTAAAAATGCCTTTCAGTGCTGAAGTCACATGGGTAATTCCGCTTTCCTTTGATTGACAATAAGGCAAATATCTTTACCTTTTCCGAAGCAGCAACCCTCATCAAACAATGGAGAGTATTATAAGAATTTCTTTATTTTGATAAAAAAGTAAAGTTTTGAGGCTGCTACGTTTGAATGATTCTTAGAAGGCATTGTCAGCTGAAATATCTTTCGATATCCTACCGAGATAAGAGAGTGTAAAAGAAGATATAATTTTATATTTTTAATTGTCTTAAAGAGATGGTGCTGGTCGCTCTGGCACATTTATCGCTATTTCACTCATTCTGGAACGGTTCAAGGCAGAACAAGTTATAGATGTCTTTGAGGCAATCAAACTGATCAGAGGTTTTCGACCTGAGTTTGTGGATAATGCCGTAAGTAATTTTTTTTACATTTCTGGCTATTAGAGGAAGACAATCGCTTGTACAGAAGCATTTATCTTCTGTTTAAAGATGCCGTTCTCTCTATAATCCTTTCAATTACTTGTTTTTTCCTAAGCTAGAAAGAAAGATTTATATAAATGAGGAAAAAGAAGATTATGAGCGACGGCAGTTTTCAATCTTATATGGTCCTGTCCTCACTTTGTTTCATTTTAACTTTAATTGGTGCTTATGTATAGAAAATCTAATTGCTGTATACACAATTAAATATAAATTGGGAAGGCACAGGCTGACAGGACCAACCTATTTCTACGCTTTTTGATCGTTTTTTTGAAGGATACGAGGTAATTCCAATAGAAACTGGGCTGCTTAAAATACACTATAGTTGCGAATATCAACAGCCCACAGGTAATTTTACTATTATTCCCGACAAACATTAGATGCCCGATTTGAAATACTGTTGATATTTCCTAAAGTTTTATCGCTTGTTCTCCTCTGGCCTAGGTTCAGTACAGGTTCTGCTACACTGCTGCACTAGCTGTCGTCGATTCGTATGGTACTTATGAAAAAATGTATGAATAAGAGCTGTTACCGCTTCAGCGATATTTCCCAGCAACGAGAATATTGCAGCACCTTTGCATGACTGAAATGTAACACTATGAACATGTTTTGTATCAAAATATCTGTGATATACGCACATTTTATAAAGTATTTGTTTAGCTTTTTGTATCATTTTATATTAGTAATGAGATATAATCAGAGCAACTCATTCTTGTATAAGCTGAAATACGGAGCCAACCCCAATTAACGTACTGACATGACAACACATGGTGAGACTCTAAATTAAGATGGCTCGCAAGAGCCTTTCTTTCAGAACAGAGAACGAAAGCATTTTTTAAGTCAGTAAAAGGCAAAATGCCATGAACACATCTCGTGGCGTACAAACCTTGAGAATTTCTCCTTTTTTGAATATAACTAAGGCCATAGTTCTTAAAAAGGGAATAGAACGATGTTCACTATTTTTAAAATGTATCTCACATTAAAATGATAGAAAAATTATAATTAGATTGATCTGACTATTTCGTTTCAAAATCATGCCTATACAGTTGGGTGAATAAATAATATTGGGTGCAAGTTTCTTACAAATCGAAATTTGTGACAATACATTAGAACAATGTTCACCGTCAAATATTGTATACAGCATGCAATGTATCATAGTATGCTGTAATTTTTTTTTTATTTAAAAGCCAATTTCAAATCTTACATTGTTAATTATAATTTGGGAAGAAGTTTTCCAAAAGTCTGATCAGTCTATTTGCATTAAAAAACAAGCCTATACATTTGAGAAAATCCGCAGTATTTGGTTGAGGTGTCTTCAGGGTGAAAATCCATGATAATATGGTGGAACATTTTTTAGCATTCTCTGATTTTATACAATTTATCTCATCTTGTAATTCCGGAAAAGGTTTTCAAAAATACTGACCTGTCTATATCCGTTCAAAAAAAGCTAATACATTTTGGAAAGTCGCTAAAATTTGGTAGAAACTTCTTATGGGTGAAAATCCATGATAATACATTAAAACAGTGTACACTACCCCTTGATTACTTAAAATATATCTCATATTGTGATAAAGGACTCAATCATTTTCGAAAAAAGGTTTACGATCTTATTTGTGCAGTTTGCAGCCAAAGCTGAATGAATTCATCAATTTTAATTCTTTTTTCAAAAACTTTTTTTTTAGACATTTTAAACTTTTTTCGATTTTTTGATTTCTCTCATCTTTGCTATTAAGGTAACCTCACGTGAGTCAGAAATCAGAAAGTATTGTTAACCATTATTCTTCTAGAACACATTAAGGTTAAGCCTAGAAACTTTAGATCTTAAAAATCTAAAACACAACGAAATGAAAACCTCGAGAAAGAGTTGAAAGCGCCTCTAGGTTATAAAATGACTGTTGAATTATTTTCGCCTTTTTTAGCTTACTGGTTAATGAACACCCTTATGCCTCTTTTACTGTAGAGATGATATAGCAAAAGCTCTTGAAGGGCATTAGACAGCTAGTTAATTAAATACAGCAATTTTCTTTACACATGTATGTAGGGAGGTTGAAAACTATAGCATCTCCAATCTCTGTTTGGTCTGCTTTTAAAATAATTCTATTTGATTATTGCATGAATCTGTCTTTTTCTCTCGCCTAAAATTTCTAAGTAGATTCCGTGCTTTCGCTTTGAATTTCGAAAATCCTATTTGTTTTGAATTATGTATCCTCAGTGTGTGTATCTTGTAATTATAAAGCTACAAACTTATTTTGTTTCTCGTTCTCTAATTCTGTTGGGTTCTTTCTCCAAAAACAAACTGTTCTAGGGTAGAGCTAAGTTGATAGCGGCAGTTTACTTTTTGAAATTTATGAGATTGACTGCATATTGTTTTATACAGTGTATCAGAAGTTTACATAGCTTATGAAGAAATGCTACCCTGATGTTCAGTTGAAGTGTGTATTCAGACCACCAGTGGCGAGCGTCCGGGTATTCAAGGTATTCTGTGACTACCCTGAGATTTCTCAGAAAAAAATATCAATACGACGTGAAATTGCAATAACTACAAAAAACTTTGGGGCTATTGATTCTGGTTGTGCTCGTTGCCTTCGATATGCTACATTATGTACAAGTACGAAATGTAACGAAATTCATGGAAACAATAACGCTGCGAAGCATAGAGAAGCTGGGAAGTCTTTGCAGCTTATTTTGAAGATTGAGCTATTTCATGTTGAATGGAGATTGGTCATGAATACACAGTGAATACACTAGACGGTACATCAACCAATCAAAATGCTTTTTCCATGAATAATATTTGCCGTTAATCAGCTAAAACAATGGTCCTGCACGCTGAGAAATAAGGAGCCTACAGCCTAGAAATTGGTTCAAAATAGTCTCGCTTTGAGATCGATGTAAACAGCTAATGGACGTCGGAGCGGTTGGAATGACGGAGCTTCATCGAAAACAGTAAATACAACTTCTTTCAAAAACTATTGCAATGTACGTCTTAGTGTTTCATAATCATTCTCTCATTTGACCCCTAATCTTAATCTACCAACAGCAAAGTGGAAAGGAAAGGTAGGCTTCTGCATAATACTACACTGACTCAGATCTGTGCCCTTTAGAAATACCAATTTTGTTATTGCTTGTCAATCAGGGATGCTCCTGTTTGCATTATGTGATAGAATTAAAGTAAATGCAGATAGGCCTGGATAATATCCTTATAGTTGCCTGGTGCATTCAGTTATATTGTTGCCCTATTTTGTTTGCATTATTCGAGCACATTCATTTGCATTGTTGTGCAGTCTCATCTCATTACCTTCGATACTCTCAAACATTAACTTGTATTGAAAATATCACGATTAGGCAATGAAGAAAAAAGTCTAGACTGCATACCACAAACTATATATAACTCCTATAATGCCCGATGTGAATAATTTCGAAACTTTCGAAAGCCCTTTTGTATTAAGGTATCAAGAGTAGGTGTTTACAGTTACTTCCTCTTTACATCAGTGCAAATTTTAGAGAATTCAACAACAACTATTGTGACATATTTCGACCAGTATATTTTTACTGAAGTTCAATGATATGTTTTGATATGGATTACTTTTGATGAAATTATGAGCTCGAAGAGTGTATTTGCGTTGCGTTCTTTAGCAAAGTATCGTTGTTTTCATCATAGTAACACCCTGACAGTGCAGTACTTGCCAACCGAACCAAAAAGAAAATAGATAAAATGTCGATAGCTAGTCCTTTTAATCTTCCTTTTATCCTCCTGTTTTCACCAAGCCCCACCAAGCCACACCCTACCCCACCCTTTTCTTTGATAGAGAATATCCAGTTGAAAAAGTCACACTACGTGACTG